TGTTGAACCACGAGGGGGCGTCCTGGAGGGACTGAGGTGGGCATGGGGCGGGGGAGGTGGCAGGATTTGGAGAGGGGAGGGCTGAGTGGAGGGGAGCAGCCCGGCTCGGGTGGGGAGGCCGGGGGCAGGGTCCCCCGGCCTCGGCACTGCTGACATTGGGGGCCAGATCGCCCCTTCTTGGGGGGCTGCCCAGTGCACCCTGGGGTGTTCGGCAGCACCTCAGCCTCTACGCACTAGATGCCAGTTGCGCCCCCTGCAGTGTGACAACCAAAAATGCTTCCAGACCTCGCCAAGGCCCCCGTTTAGGACCACGGACTGGAGCAGGAGGCCAGGTTGCATAGGGCTGGGGGGCACCTTGCTGGCTGGCAGTAGTGACCATCCGTTCGCGACTTGCCCCCCACTGGCTCACCGGGACCCCTACGAGCTTACAAGGCAGCTGGCAGGTCCGCTGCACCGTGTGGTCAGGGGCGGCCCCGCCCAGTCCGGGGTGCAGCCATAGCGGGTAACCTCGGCTTCTTGCAGGTTCCGGTCTCCAGCCATCGCAACCCCCTGCTGGACCTGGCCGCCTATGACCAGCAGGGCCGCAGGTTCGACAATTTCAGCTCGCTGAGCGTCCAGTGGGAGTCCACCAGGCCGTCGCTGGCCAGCATCGAGCTGGACCCGCCCTTACAGCTGGTGTCCCGGGACGATGGGAGCGGCCAAAAGAAGTTGCACGGTGAGCCGGGTGGTGAGCGGTGGCCCCAGACAGACGAGCCGCGTGCCGAGAGGGGCCGGCAGCTGTGGGTGGAGGGCTGGGACCCCCTCTGTCCAGGACTAAAGCTCAGGGAGCTTCAGGACTCTCCTTTAATCCTCACACGTCTGTGACGTAGGAATGGCCTCTCTGTGTGGGAGATGGGGAAACAGCTTGGGGCACACAGCGGCTGAGTCTCAAACCCCAGGTTGTACACAGACCGGCCTGGCGCCGACGCCCTGTGACGCTGCCATCACAGACCCCTCGACGGCCGGGAGCTGAGCTGTCTCCTCCAGCTCCTCTAAGCTGCCCCGGGAACCTCGCTCAGGGCCCGTTAACTCTTATGGTGCACACAGTGTAAACGAAGCCCATCACCTATTTTTAGGGCTGTGGGAGATTTAAAGCTACAAATTAGACAGAGGGAAGGAGGGGCCGCCTCACAGATACAGCAACAGGGCCCAAACCCGACGCCGCTTTCTCTCCCGCTCTCAGGTTTGCAGGCCATTTCAGTTCACCAGGCCTCGGGCACCACGGCCATCTCTGCCACTGCCACTGGCTACCAGCAGTCCCACCTGGACATGGCCAGAGTGAAGCAGCCGGTACTGACCAGGGCCCTGGGGGGCCGGGGAGCCCTGCTGCTTCTGCTTCTCCTGTGCTGTGCCCGGCGTCCCAGGGTCGTGAGCCCCTCGCTGGGCTGCACCCCGGTCACCCCCCGCTCCCTGATCAGGAGTGCCTCGTCACCAGGCTCCCTGCCTCAGTCTCCCCCGTTGCACACCCTGCACGCAGGCAACGGGGGGATCCAGCTCAAAGGCAGAGGGGCCTCGCCACATGCCGTCTCTGGCGCACGCCTCGGGGGCCCTCAGACCTTCGGGCCGCAGCCTCTTCCCCGCCGCGGCCCGACTTACGGCCCCAGCTGAGTGTGCCCAGCTGGTTCAGCCCCATCCCCTAAGCCCGCAGCTCCCACTGCCTGCAACGCCGTCCCACTTTCCTGGGGTGCGTGTGAGTCGTCCATCCCGGGAGCCTGGCAGGTGGGATGGGGCGCCCACCTGGGCAGGACTCCGGGAGGCCTCGCAGGGCTGTGGTCTCAAAGCACGATGGGTGTTACTGGGCTCGTGTCCCCGTCACAACGAGGTCCCGGGGAGCAGGGGGTGCCAGCCCCTGGGGCCACTCGTTCTGCTCTTCTGAGGGAGGCCGTGGGCTGGCCTGAGGTGGCCCCCAGCGCCCCCTGGATCTGACAGTGCTGGCTTTGCCCCTTCAGCACCATCCCCTCGTGCCCGTGTCGGCCTCCATCGAACTCTTGCTGGTGGAAGACGTGAGGGTCAGTCCAGAAGAGGTGGCCATCTACAACCACCCGGGCGTGCAGGTACAGCCTCCCCGCTGCTCCAGTGCCTGGCTGTGACCCCTGGGGGACCCCAGGCCTCTGACACCAGCCGTCCCCTCCTAACAGGCAGAGCTGCACGTCCGAGAAGGCTCTGGCTACTTTTTCCTCAACGCCAGCAGCGCAGATGTGGTCAGCGTGGCCTATCAGGAAGCCCGGGGCGTCGCCACGGTGAGTGTGGGCCCTGCCCCCGCCTTCCTGTTCGTTTTAGTCAACAGATGGTTGCAGAAGCTGGCACTTAATCTCGGCTGGTGTCTTCAGATTCTCTGATTCACTGTTTGTGAAACTCACGAGCTACCTTGGTGGTTTGCATTCCATCTCCACAAACTACCCACACCATAGTTACCTAATAATAATTATTATTATTTAATTTAATAATTAAATTTAATTATTTATTAATTAAATTTAATAATGATATAATTATTATGATTACCTAGTAGTAATATTTTCATCTTAACTGGTTTCCTTTCAGTTAAAATGAAAATATTATTACATAAGTGCCAGTATAAGAACCATAAGGAAATTGCCTTAAAAGACATATCAGCTTTTTCTGTTTCTCCATGTTCCTTTCCTGACCCTCTCCCTAGCTGTGCCTATGGTGTGGAAGAATTGATCATTCTGCTCTTTTCAGTGCTTTTATTCTAAGGTTTTTTTTCTCCATGTTGCCATGTAGGCTGGCTGATTATTTTCTCACAGTCATTTGTACTCAGCCATTCTCTCCTTGTAGAGCATTTAGGTTGTTTAATTTTTTTTATTTTTAAAGAATCGCCCTATAATTATGGCAAAGAGTAAAGGCAAACAGACACCAACGTCCTAAATGTTTGCATATTGGCACAGTGAGTTATTATGCTGTCGTGAAAACTGAACTTTCTTAAAAGGAAACTCTGACCGCTGAGTGTGTCAAACCACTGCTGTGAGTCGCAATTGCAGGCACCCAAGAACCAAGAGACCGTGACACCCATGTGGTGTCCTGAAATTGCAGCTCTGCTGTGCCCTTTGGGTTGCCCAGAGCCTAAGACCTGCTTTCCCCTGGTGAAGGCTGGTTGCCAGGTGTTGGGGGAGTTTTCCAGTCATCCCAGCACCGAGCGAGACTGTGTCCTGGACTCGAGAGAGGCGGGGGCACTCCGTGCTTGACGCATGGTGGGGGTTCCTGTGGTGCAGCCAGGGAAGCCAGGGGAGAGCCGTCCTGCCATCCTACCGCCCGCGCTTGCTTTCAGCATTGCCTGTCCGTGCGGGGGAGCCCTCACCACTGGCGAGAGCACAAAACACACACTCCAGGGACTTAGCCTTCACAGAGACCTGGTCCCACAATCTCCTTTCAGAAATACAGCCTGGCTGCCTTGCCCATGGTTGTGCAGTAAATGTGTGTCCTAGCCGGGAATCAGGAGTATGTCACCTCACTCTCTGCAGGGTTTCCAGCCATAAGTCCCCACTGGTCCCTTTCTCTGACTTTCTTTTTGCATCTGTTGATACAGTGGCCACAACATGAGTTGTCTCTGAAGTGGGACAGGTGTAGAGTAAGTGAGGCAAATGAGCAGGGTGTGAGGAACATACTGGGAGGAGCTGGGCTAACCAGCACCAGATGCTTAGCTTCACCGTCGGAGGTAATAGGGCGTGGTGGGGACTGCGGTAAACTAGACGGCAGAGACTGTAGCTAAGGGACAGCTGCCCCACACCCTCGCCAACTTTTATTATTTTTAATATCAGTTTTATTGAGGTATCTTTCACATACCATACAATTCACCCATTTAATGTCACAATTCAGTGGTTTTTAGTGTATTCATAGATGCAGGCAACCATCACCACAGTTAGTTTTAGGTTTTTTATCGCCTCAGAAAAACCCCAAATACCTTAGTAATCACCTCCCTATTCTTACACACACACACACATAGGAAAGGGTGTTGGATTTTGTCAAATGCTTTTTCTGTGTCTCTTGAAATAATCTTTTTTTTGTTTGTTTTTTATTCTATTGATATCATGTGTTACATTAATTGGCTTTCAGATATTAAACCAACCTTGCATTCTGGGATAAACCGTACTTGCTCATGATATATAATTCTTTTTACGTGTAACCGGTTAAAGTTTGCTGGTATTTTGTTGAGTTTATGTTCATATTCCTGAGAGATTTTGGTTTGTGATTTTCTCTTTTGTGATGTCTTTGTCTGGTTTGGGTATCAGGGTGATACCACCCTCATAGAATGACTTAGAAATGTTCCCTCTTCTAATTTTTGGAAGAGTCTGGGTAGAGTTGGTAACAGTAACTCTTGAATGTTTGGTGGACTTAACCAGTGGAGCCATCTGGTCACGGGCTTTCCTCATGGGTAGTTTTTGATATGAATTCAAATTCTTCACTTCTTACATGTCTATCCAGGTTGTTTATTTCTTTTTGAGTCAGATTTGGTAGCGTGTGTCTTTCTTGGATGATCTAGTTTTTTTGTTATTTTGTTTTCCTAACATTTTCTTACCTTCCTCCAGTGGGCGACTTTGGTCTTCAGCTGTCTTGTTGGAAGGATGCTTTCTCACAGTGCAGCCCCTCGGTGAAGGGCGAGGAAGCACGTCATAACATTCCTGTTTTTCTCAGAGGCAGAATTACAGATGTTGGGTCCTCTTGGGTTTATCACCATAGATCAGAGCAAGAGAAAGTCATCTCTCGGCACCTGTGGACAAATGTGTGTCGTTAGAGGGAGCTTGGGGCAGCTGGGTGCCTGCGATGGTAGGAAGCTCTCCCTCAGGCACTTATATTCCCTCTATAAAAGAAAGAATAATTCCCTGGCCGTTCCTTTTCCATGTAAGTAAGTGTTCACTGTCAAATCCTTAACATTAAAGGGAAAACCTCAAATTGTAAATGATTCCAACTGCTTGAAATATGCCTTTTTTTTGCTTTATCTCTGGAGATTAAAAATAACTCCCCTGTTATATTAAAGAGGGAAATTTCAAGTTCAGAAAAATGTGTGCAGTGCCAACAAAACTTGGGCACCTTTTTACTCACATTTACCTTGCACCACACGTTTTGAGTGAGCCCTGAGGGCAGCCCTGTGGCTGGAGAGAGACCCTTCTTCCAAGAACAAGAGGTTCTGACAGTCTGTGATGGACTAGGCTGCTGCTTCAGGTAGTGAGCTCCCCGTCTCTGGAGGCATTCAAACAGAGGCTAGCATGCTTGTCTGACTCAAGATGGGATTCCAGCGTCAGAGTCAGGTTTCCCGAAACCTACGAACCCCTGCTTAGTCTAGCAATGTCCTACAATGCGCAGTCCCTGTCAGCAACAGACTCTAGGCTTCTCCCAGCCAAGATAAGCCCGACATCCCCAGTTTACAGATGGTCCCAAAGAGCTATAGCAGTTCTCTCTCCAGGTTGTAGGACTGGCCTTCGCCCACATGTGTCATCCTCCGTGGCTCTTGTTGAGTGCCCCACTGCAGACACGACCCCAGGACATGTCTGGCACCGAGTTCAGGTCGTGCCAGCTGTGCCTGACGTTCAGTGCCCGGTCCACCAGGATCGCGTTTGCCCAGAAGGTATCCTGGAGGCGCCTTGGCCGCCAGGCTCTCTGCTTCCCCCCACCTCAGGCCTGTGCAGAGACCACTGCGGCTCCAGGTGGAATCGGGTTCTGGTTCCCTTTGCCTCTTCTGTAAAGTGTGGGAGGGATTTCTCATGGAGTGTTGACAGCCGATGACAGCTCCTCACAGCTTCTCGGAGGGCTGTTTCTGAAGGACGTTTACACGTTTCTATGGCATTTTCCAGCTGCTAATTAGCAGCATTCTCATTTCCTTTAATCACAGAGGCGAGGAAGCCCACAACATTTCTTCAATTAGCTCAGAGAATTGTTTCTTTCTTTCCTATTGATACCCATTTGGAGGCAAGAATGGCTGGTGGGTGTGTGTCGGCTTCCAAGAGTCTCTGGAAGGGAGTCTGGCGCGCACACATCGCACCGGGACTGTGGTGGGGTGATTATGCCCACACCATGCACCCAGGGCTGTGCAGGCTCACACAGACCCAAACCCTCTGCAATGCACCTCTCTTTCCTTCTTGGCTAGTTTACACATGGGAGTGTTTACCTGATTTAAACTCAGGGTTTCTTTCTTCTCACCAGTTCTTTACATTTCAAAATAAGCCCTCCACGCAGAAGCTGTGTGATTATAAGATCGGCAGCTGGGAAGCAACCTAGCGTGTGCTGAGCCCTCATGCCTTTCGTTAACGCATTCACCCTGCAAAGGTGGGTGCCCATCACGTGCCAGGCCTGGTCCAGGCTCCAGGGATTCAGTGGAGAGCAGACAGGCCCTCTCTGGGTCCTGGGATATGCGGCTGGTCATGGTGACGTACCCCTGAGGAGGTGCATCAGAAGGGGGTCCTTCCTTGGGTTGGGGCAGGTGGTAAGTGGCAGCCGTGGGGCGTCAACTTGGGTGTGTCCCGCCTGTGGTGTGTTCGCCTGCGGGAAGCCTCCAGGCTGGCTGGGGCCCTTGGATGAAGTTTCTCATCTCAGTGGGACCCTGGTCATCCCCCACCAGCCTCAAGAGCGTCCATGCCTGCCGGGGGCATGGATCCCCACCCTCTCGCATGGCATGGCCTGGCCACCACGAGACATCGACAGGCACGCATGGGAAACAGAAGCGGATGGTGCCAGCGATGTTCGGAAGTATCTTCAGGGTCCTTGCTCTTCTGTGGATGCCACCTGTCAGTGAACAAGTGTGAAATGTGATGGGCCCTGGGAAGCGAGGGGCCGTGATGACGCAGCAGCCCTTTGGGGCCTGGCGGGTGCAGGTGGACAGCGCGAGCAGAGCGGCCCCTGGCTCCACACATGGCATCTTAATGCACAATAACGCGTTCCATTCTCCAAAGAGATGACAGGACTTCTCCTGGGCTCTCAGTGGGCACCTTTACCCCTTGGGAATGAGAATTCATGCTGGGCGTGGGTTTACCCACCTCCCCTCCTGCACATGCGTCCCCCACACGTCCATCAGGGAGCAGGTGGGTCTGGAGCCTGGAGAAGGGGGTGGTGACACATACACGGTCGGGGTGGGGGGCGGGGACAGGATCCCTCCCCCCACCCCCACCCCTGTGCCATCTGCTGGCCGGCATGTCCCCTTGCTTCCTCCAGTGGTTTGTCTCTGGAGTGGCGGGTGGGCACGCCCGTAAAGCACTGTTGATTGTCCAGTGGGCTGGCAGGAGCTGATGTGCGGACGGGCCACGTGGCCCTTTGGTGGGTGGCAGCCTGACGCCGTCTCCCGCTCCATCATCCGGAAGGCGCCTGGACGTCCAGCTGCTGGGAAATCAAGCAGAAATCAAGCGTCATTTATGTGTTTGTTTAAAATGCGCAAAGTGGCTCTTTCGAAGGAGAGAAGAAGAAGAGGGAACACCTCCGTGCGCCCCCCGCGCAGGTCTGGCCCCGTCGGCACAGCGAGCGCCTCATTGCTCTGCGTCATGAAGGACGTGCCGCTCCTGACAGTGGCAACTTTTGCAGGAGGATCAGATGAGAGCTCTCGCTTCTCCCTGTGATTTTTAAATGGGTTCTCTCTGGGGGATGTGTAATAAGCCAAGTGAATCGTCCTCCGCAAAACTGGAGCCCTGTGGCCTCCAGCCCCCAGTCCTCGGCGTATTTGGTACCAGGCTGGCATGGCCCTGGGTCAAACTACACAGCCGTTGTTCGGAGCGCCAGCGTGATTTCCACTCTGGAATCTTTATTAAGCGACTTGAGTCCTTGTGTGAAATACTCTGGGCCCCCTTCATCTGTGGATGTGCCTGTGAGCCCAGTGCTGCTGGCAGAGTACTCAAGCCCCTGCCGCCTCCCCTGCCCGACGGTTCCTTTCTGGCTGCTGGTGGCATCCAGCTCTGGGAAGTGGCTGAGTGTGGGAGAAGATGCCCTAAACTGGGGGCTCGGGCACCGCGTTCCCTCCCCAGTGCCGCCCCTTCAAGGCTGGGTTCCCACCCTGGGTAGGCCTGTCTCCCCGTGTGTTCACTGAAGGATGTGGGCCAGAATCAGCACTTCCCAAATAGATGACGGTACCTGGGGTTTGCAGACCCCTTCTTTCAAACATTCCCAAGTGTTGACAAAGCCAGAGCTGAAGCTGAGCTGGTGCAAGCGCAGGTCTCCTTACGTTAACCAGCGACTTGGAGCTGTGACCCTGGATCTCAGTGTACTCAACACGCTGGGCGGGGGCCGCGTCTCGGCCAGGTGTGAGGCTCGGTCCTGAGGCCGCGTTAGGGGAGAAGACAGCCTGCGGGGAGGATGCACGGGGAGGTCTACATCAAGTTGGAGTGAAGAGTGGTACAGCTGCAGCAGGAGAAGAGAGCAGAGGGGCGAAGGTCCCGACCTCCCAGATCAGGGGAGATTTTACCGAGGAGGGACACTTGAATGGGACTGAGGGTGAGTGAGTGGGAGCCAGCAGGTGGGCACAGGGGGAGGACAAGCCCCCAGATCTCAAAGGTGGACTGTGCAGCCCTGAGGCGGGTAGACAGGCGCCAGATGGCTGGAGTGTAATGGCCATGGGGGAGGGTGTCTCGCGGTGAAACCAGAGTCCTGGGCAAGGGCCAGATCGTGCCAGGTTCTTATAGGATGTGTTAAGGATGTGGGCTCACTCTGGGCAGCTTTTGAAGGCTTCTCACCTGGGTGCAATAGGATAGTATTTGGTTGTCTCCTGACGTTTTTACCCCACAGGTTCTTGACATGGAAATTGTAGCTTTGCCAACACTGAGCAGTTCACTGTACCCACCGCCCATCTCCCACCCCCAGTGAATATAAGACCACAAATCTCAGGCAGCAAAGCCAGGGCCAGGTAGAGATGGGAGGCAGCCGCGGGGCCCACCCACTAGCTCCATGACATGCCTCCACCTGCCCAGCCCCCAAGACCACTCATTTGAGATGCACGCCTAAGCAATATGCCAAGTTACTGCGAGTCCATCCCCAACATGAGAGAGTGGTGATGATGCAGTTTGTCTGGGGAGAGACTCTTCTGAAGGTGGGATCCCTGGAAGAAGACTTAAAGGGGGCCTTTGGCAGTGAAAGCGTGGAAAACAGGAGCTTAGATGAATTTCTGCACTCCAGACATTTTATGAGGGCTCTACTGCAAACACAGCAGAGGTCGAGGTGAATGTGGGGATGGGCAAGATTCAGAGAGCTCGCCCTGAAGACTTGGTGGCCTCCTCGGCCCGTTCCCAGGTTCTGAGAGTCTGTGGGTTCAGATTAGGACTTCTCAGTGAGAGCTTCATTTGGAAAGCAGTGGTCTCACCCTCTACCAGCCCCTGACTTGCAGTTTCACAGGAGACCCCATGGGATGCTCTTCTCTTATGGGAGCTGCAGGGGCAGGTGGCCTGGACAGGAGATATGGAACCCTGGGTGTGAGTCCTCACTCTGCCAAGCTCTGACCATCCCCACCTTGAAGCAGCTTCCATTTTCTTCTCTGCAAATTGTGCAAAGTTGAAACAAATGCTCTCTGAAATCTGTCCTGGCACTAACATTTTACATCCCAAGCCTCTCCCCTGGCTGGCAGTGGGTGCTCGTGATGAGGGGTGGGCAGGGCAACATTAGGGTTTTCCAAGCCCTGGTCCGCAATCTCTGGGAGACAGTGTCCCACAGGCGATAGGCTGCTGCCGTGAGCAGCTGTGTAACCACACCCACCTCTGACCTCCCAGGTGCACCCTTTGCTCCCGGGCACCTCAACCATCATGATCCACGACTTGTGCTTAGCCTTCCCGGCCCCGGCAAAGGCTGACGTTTATGTCTCGGACATTCAGGAGCTGTACATCCGCGTGGTAGACAAGGTCAGTGTCAACTTTCCGATATGGCTCCCTCCCTGCGGAGGCCTGGAGAACGATGGGGGTTCAGGAGGTGTTTTCCTCGTGTCCACCTGCAGCTCGCAGTGCTGTTTCACCCAGCATTCTGGGCTCAGTGCAGAGCGGCCTCCGAGGGTATCCGTCTTCATCTCAGTTGACACCTGTAAAACCTGGCTGTAAATCCCGCTGGAAGTTGTCCCCACGTTAGCTGCAGCTTGGGAATTCCTGTCCTCTGACTGGTGCAAGTTACTAACCAGCCCGGTACATGCATTGCTGAATGTGAATTTTCTCCCCAGTATGTACATTTTGGATTCTCAGAAATTTCAGTGGCAAGATGTACTAATGCCAAGTGCTTTTGCGAAATGAATGCATAATAGATCTAGGCTTTTCTTTAATGTAAAGAGGGATTTTATATTACTCCAAACGCCTGAAGTAAGTGCAGTGAGACTTAAAGAGGGATGCTGTCAGAGTCCTATCTTCCTGGGGGGAGAGAAGACTTGGTAATTAGAGGGGGACATTCAAGCAACTTGGACTCCTTAAAAGTCAATATTCTCTTAGCCTCAGGTAGTCCTCCTCTGATCTCATTCCCTCTGGTGATTTGCTACCAGACTTGAGTTCTTTCACTAAGCATTTCTGACTCATGTTTCCCAGAGTTTTCACTATATGTATTATGTGCCAGGTATGAACTCTTGGGTCAATGAGCACTTTTTAAACCCCCACTGTATGCCTGTTGCTATTCTAAGCTACGGATTATCTCTCTAACTAGATGGTTAGTTCTTTCTTTTTATTGGAGTATAGTTGATTTACAGTGTTGTGTTAGTTTCTGGTGTCCAGCAAAGTGATTCAGTTATACATATATATATTCTTTTTCAGATTCTTTTCCATTATAGGTTATTATAAGACATTGAATATAGCCCCTGTGCTATACAGTAAATCCAGTTGTTTATCTGCTTCATACATAGTAACGTGTATCTGTTAATCCCCTACTTCTAATTTATCCGCCCCCCCCCAAGATTGTTAGTTCTCTCAGAGTGGGATGTGTCATTTATACATCAAAGTATCCCCGAGGCCCCTTGAATACAGAAAGCACGTAACCGATTTTCATTTGTTGATGGGCTGATAGTCTGAAGGTCAACTTAGGTCTGTGGGTTTGAGGTTGTTGATGCTTTTGCAGAGAGCCCTAGGGTACCACAGGTGGTGGCATTGGACATTCGAAGGCCACCCCTGAGTCTCTGTCCCCCTTGATGTAGGTGGAGATTGGGAAGACGGTCAAGGCGTATGTTCGCGTGCTGGACTTCCACAAGAAGCCCTTCCTGGCCAAGTACTTGGCCTTCATGGACCTGAAGCTCCGGGCAGCCTCCCAGATCGTTACGTTGGTGTGAGTCCTTGCAGGATCAGGGGTCAGGGCATTGCCGACAGGTCTGTCGGGGGACGAAGTCCCAGCCCCTCCCTCTGTTCCAGGGCCCTCGATGAGGCCCCAGACGACTACACCGCTGTGTTTCGTGTCCACGGCGTGGCCATTGGCCAGACCAGTCTCACCGCAACCGTGACCGATAAGGCTGGACAGAGAATCAACTCAGCCCCACAGCAGATTGAGGTAAAGCTGTTCCTCTTAATGCTTCATGGCCTCAGCCCAGCCCCTGTTGCATGTTAGGGCTTTTCTGTGATAGGCTGGGCGTTTTAGGGGCAGCCCAGGAAGCCACGTGGAGGGGCCGTATTAAACTGCCCTACTGTGTCCTCTGATGAAAAGGGGGCCTTCACTGGTCCCGGAGACCTGGGGCCACAGGAGGGAGGGGCCTGGGTTACTTCACTCTCTCCGGGACGGAACGGGGGTGGTGTGGCTCAGCGGAGGGGAGCTACTGCCGCACAGCAAGGGGGTGGCTGGGGAGGAGTGCAGACTGGTCTGGGCTCGTGTGCAGAGGTGCCCGTTGACAGTCGGGGCCTTAGAGGCGGTGCGGTGCGCTCCTCGACGGAACTCCAGGAGCAGCAGTTCTGGGTGAGGGAGCTCCAGGGCCCCGACACTGTCTCCGCTGTGACGGGAGCCCCACAGCCGCCAGGGCCAGGAAGTCGCGTCCAAGTTTATTCTTCGGCAGCACTAAACTGCTCCTGCCCCCTCCTCCACCGTCTCGGCCACATAGGGCCGGTGGGCTTGGTGTTGGCGGATGCGGTTGGTGCTTCTAGATGGCAGTGCACCTTTCTTCTCCTGCGGAGAAGTCCTGTCTGCCTATAAATGATGCAGCCACACGGAGCCTACTCCTCACGCACAAAGCAGCCCCAGGCCGACTGGCACCCCTTACGGCAAAGCAGGGTTTGTAGGGGTACAGGAGGAGGACCTGGGGGCTTTGCACTGCTGCAGAGACAGGGCGTCCTCGTCCCTGCCCCTCGAGTCCTGCTTTCCTCCTCTGGAAAATGTTGAGGCCATCGAAGCAGAGGGCTCTTCTAGGGCAATTTAGTCACTAGAAATCTAGAGACATTTAGTGGAGAGACAACCTTCCAGAGAGGAGTTGGGGAAATCTCGAAAGCAGTGGGTTGGAAGCTTGGACATGTGTCAGATCTCATGGGGACTTGTTAAAACACATGGCAGGACCCCACCTCTGACTGGCAGGTCTGGGGCAGGCCGGGGAGCGGGCGTTTCTACAGTTCCCAGGTGGCTTCCACAGGAGCAGAACACGGCCCTGAGAACCACAGATCCTTGGGCCCAGGGATGGGATGAGGTCTTGTAGGGACTGCTTGGGCTCCCGCAGGCTTGGCCGGGACCCCAGGCGCTCACCGGCGCCCCCTTCAGGGGAATGACGTCTGCGCACCATGCTTCTCTGGAATTGAATGGGACTGTGTCCGGCTACAGGAGCCTGGAACACAACGGGCCCCTTTCTCTCTCGTGTCTCCACACCCAGGTCTTTCCCCCGTTTCGGTTGATACCCAGGAAGGTGACGCTGATTATCGGGGCCACGATGCAGGTAGGAACCAAAGGCCACGCCCCCGCCCCACCCGCACCCGCGGCCCGTGTCCCCTCCCTGGGGCTTCAGAACGGGCTGTGGAGAGTGCTGGGGTGTCGGCACCCTCGCCCCCGAGGGTGAGGCGTGGGCCGGCCGGGCCGGGCTGACGGGCGCCGCCCTTCCCGCCTCCAGGTCACCTCCGAGGGCGGCCCCCAGCCTCAGCCCAACGTCCTCTTCTCCATCAGCAATGAGAGCGTGGCGCTGGTGAGCGGCGCCGGGCTCGTGCGAGGCCTCTCCGCGGGCCACGGCGCCGTGTCGGGGGTCGTGCAGGCCGTGGATGCCGAGAGCGGCAGGCTCGTCGTCGTGTCACGGGTAAGGGCGTGGGCTGCACCGTGGCGGGCACCTTCCGAATCCGCCCTGGACACAGCCTCTGGGGTGAGGCTCACCGCTCCCCAGGCAGCTGGTGGGGTTGCTGACCCGGGCTGGGAGGAAGCCCTGCCTGCTGGGCTGGGGATCTTGCCAAGGGCCGCCCTCTCCCAGGGTCTTGCTTCTGCCCTCCGAGCCCAAGCCCCTGCCTGTCACCTACCCCCGCCAGGGCCAGCCCTGCACTCGTACCCCCGAGGTTGCCCTCCTCCAGACTGAGGCTCCCCGGCTGTTCCTTAAGGGGCGGGGTCCCCAAGCCCCACGCCCTGGGGCCATTCCAGTGCAGGGTGACAGTTGCCGTTGTGACAGCAGACCCTGCTTCACGTGCCTCCCCGAGTCCTCTCCGGACCCTCTGCTCTGCCCGTGTGCAGGTGATGGGCCCGAGGGACGGGCTAGTGACCCACGGCCACCACACGGCTGCTCTAGGACCTGTTCTAGTATTGCCAGCATCAGAGCCCTCCCGCCTTCAGGTCTTCTTTTCCAGCTGGGCTTGGAGATGTTCTCCTAGCAGAGTTGGGCTGCTCTAGGCTCTGACACACTTGCTGGGTTATGGTGTATGTTTTTGGAGGCATGTGCTGACTTGGCTGCTGTACACGAGGGTAACTGGACACCAGTAGTGTTTCAGACCTGGATTCATATTTCCAGGAGAAAAAGAAAGCCTGAGTCATCCGCCAGTATCTTTGCTCAGCTAGAAGTAGAGTCATCTCCCCCGCCTCCTCGCTGGAGTGGGGGATATTTCCTGACCAATTTCCTGGGTCAGCAGAGATGCTGGAGGCCGACTCAGGGGAAGCCTCATCCAGGAGGGTCTCCCTGTCCCATATCGGTGGCACTGAGTCCAAGCAGGTGAAAGCAGGTGTCTCTAAGTCTGATCGTTTCTGTCTTTCCCAGGGGCAGACACTTCCGTGGGCCTCTGGGAAGGACAGGGCAGAGCATGTCCCCCTCCTGAGAAGAGCTCAGGGTGCTTGGATTCTGCCCCGTGTCCTTGGCCTGCTGTGACCTGCGGGAGCGTCGGCTTGGTGGTCAGGCCACGCTGGAACCCCGGGTCGAAGAGGGCATTTTGTCCTGGGTGGTGTGGCTGTGGACAGGAACTGGGCTCCTGACAGCGGTCCGGGAGCACCGCCAAGTTAGGAGCACCTGAACACAACAGCTCTGGGCGCTGGCACCCCCTGGAGGGGGTGGGGCTGACTTTGACCCGACACCGAGTGCATCGATTTACTCCTTTCCCAGCAGTTCCCCTCTTTCCAAGTATCCCGCTTATGCCACAAAGTCCTTTTGAATCACTGGGTGGATATTCCAAGTTTACCTATCTATTTTATAAAGACGAGAAACCACTGGGCATGTGAGAGTAAAATTAAGGACCAAGAAGGCCCTGCTTTGTTTCTCTCTAAAGAAAGGGTTGCAGCCTCAGGAACGGGCTTGTTTTTCTCCTCCTGGGGGCCCGCGTGGCCGACACAGCTGATACAGCAACTGGCTGGAGATTGGTCCAGAGGACACAAGGCCATGCAGTCCCTCCTGGCCACCCTCCTCTCTAGGCTGACCTCACTGGGCCACCTCTCTGCGTCTCCCATCTGGCAGGCTTGGGGAGGGGCCGGGGGAAGGCCCCGGTGCCCCTTGGTAGATGGAAAGCCTGCACCGCCAGCTCCATCTGAAAGGCGTCTCCTTGAGCCCGGGCAGGTGGGGGCTCAGCCTGAGGCCCTGAGGTCCGCGTGTCCCAGAAGCGTATGCGACTCTGGTCAGAAGCTCACGATTCCATCTGTGCAATTTGGGTCACCCTAAGAATCAGCTCCCAAAGCCGAGGAATAGTCCAGGACTAGCAAGGGGAGACAGCAGTGAGAAGGATGAAGGGAAGGAAGGGAAGGGATGCTAGCTGGGCACCTACTATGTGCCAGGAGTTAGCCCACATCACAAGGCACAGGAGATGGGCTCACATGAGTGTATGTAAAAAGGGCTTAAGGGTTTTAGTAGCCTGGGTTCAGCGTGTGTCAGCAGCACTACAGAGAAGCCAGTAAAGTTAGTCTTTGGCCAAATTAACAGGAGTATAGAATTCAGAATGGAGGAGGATATAGTCTATTCTAATCACACTCTACCTGGCTCCTGCATTTGTCCCGGTACTCTGCTCAGAGACAGACAGGCTGGATTTGGGGTTGGGAGGTCTGGAGACCTGTCGTGTGAGGGCTGCCTGGCCTAGAGAGGAACAGTCCCTGGTCAGTGTCCCCAGGTCTCTGCAGTGCTGACCTGGACCTCTGGATCGGACAGGTCTATAGGCTCAGAGGACCAGGCTGGCACCCCCTGGGGCAGGAAAGAGGCAGCAGCCAGGTCCACGTGGGGCGAGCCACCCGCAAAGCCAGGCCTCCTAGGGAGGAGGAACATCATGGGTGCCTTCTGGCCATGTGACTCTGAGCTGGCCTTGGCAGGAGCCTCCTTCCTGGGGGAGGGGTGTCCCTTCCCGCAACTCCCGTCACTAGCACATAGCGCCTACCCACAGTCAGCCTGAGCCCCAAAGCCCTTTTCCTAGGACCTCGTGGAGGTGGAGGTGTTGCTGCTCCAGGCTGTGAGGATCCGTGCCCCCATCACTCGGATGAGGACGGAGACCCAGGTGAGGCGGGAACCTCTCCAGGCCCTCCTGTCTGAGCTCTCGGAGCAGCCTCTTGTCAGGGGTCAGGCCCTGAGTTCTCCTTCAGGATGAGCTTGGGGCTGCTGGCCGGACGCTGTTCCCTCTGCAGGGACACTTCTCCATGCCCTTCACCTGCTGAA